CAGAGATGGAGGCATAAACAGACAGTAACCCAGGCTGCAACGCGCCAGGCTTACTGGTGCAATCATGCGTTTTTGTGCTATCCTTGTAGATCGCTAACAGCAGGAATAGGTCCTGCACTGTACTTTAACAAGTGAATTCATACCGGCTCTGTTTTGACTTCTCCCTACCAGCAGGAGGAAAGGACGCCGGCTGGGCTGAGGGTGTTGCATTACAGGCCGCATGGATTTCCAGTGTGCATGACTATCAGTTTCCTGCACGAAGCCCGGTCATTTTTCTGGCGAATGCTCATTCATTGAAAAAATTAAAGTTTGAATGAAGTCGAAAGGGGATTATGAAATCTCCAAAATACACCCACTTTTGAGTTTGCGATAAAATTGAATGCTTTATCATGTTTGCGTGCCAAGAATTTCCCCTGAAAACTGAATTACGACCACACGTGAATATAGAATATCTTTTTCAACTTCGCAGCTTGTCTAGAAGCCAAATAGCCATTTCGCCATAAAAATCATTGAATTGCCCTAAGTCGTGGGGCAAGTGCAAATCGAAACGCAGTACAGGTATACGATTTTTCATATGAATAACAGATACTCTAACAAAATTTCAGCTGCTGTTTTCTGATTAGTTTTTGCGCTAGCACAGTGATAACTGCGAACTTTGACATGACCGTACGTGCGGTATAAGCGTGAGCGATAGCTGAATTTGAAATCTTTAGCTCATAAGCGCACAGAGAACTTTGTATTTTGCCTAGTTCGCGAGGTCATTTCCCGCTAAAGAAATCTGCAAATTTTCTTCGGAGTTGTGTACACGAAGTCTAGGCGTGTATGAGCGAAGATTTTAAAACGGGAGGATGACATACGGGGTGGGTGGTAATATGTTCTCAAAATTTTAGCCTCCCAGCTTTTCTGGTTGCTGAGTTGAAAGCGACTGACAAGGTTCACTCACTTTTGGATACATACATACACAAACACATACAAGAACGACCTGTCGACAATATGCGTTTTTGCTCATTGTAACAGCACTATAGCGCTGAGCAGCAAAAACGCATAAAAAAGCTTCCGAAGTTGTGAAACACGTGCTGCAGACACATGTGTAGCACGTATACGTATTTTCAGTGGTGTTGCAGTTCTCATGCGACACCGCATCATCGCTATAAAAATGCTGGCAGCATGTTTCGGAAGTATTTTTGTTTTGTTAACTATCCCACTCGGTCGCTCCGTTTGCTTGCGCTCAGTTAAAGCAATAAGGATTCTGTGGACCATCAATCGGTGGATCGGTCACTGCGGCCCCGAACACCAAGCCATCCAGCACAGGTAGCTGAAACTACCGGTTGCCGGCGATAGGTGTAACGGTATCAGCAGAGGCGTCATCCACAACGATAGACTGAGGTTGACGGGGGAGGACATATCAATGGAAAAGGAGCACCGCACAGCAGTCGAAGGAACCGGGGACAAAGAGGAGGACACAAGCGAATCAGATGAGGAGGACAAAAGCGGCTCTACAACCAGCAGCGATGCAGCCGAAATTGCAGAATTTGCAAATCTGCTGGACGACTTCACCGGGATCACTTTTCCAGCTCTGGATTTCGACCGCAGTAGTGCCAACGACGATAAAACTTTCAGTATTCGGGATCTTATAATGAGTCTATGTCCAGAGCAGCTGGACACAAGCAGCACAGATAGCACAATCGATCTAGATATGATACTATCAGCTGTATCGGAATATGACGAAGAAGCATGCAATAAGGGTGCGGACAAGGGTGACGACGATCATGAGGACAATGACAGCGATGCATATACAGATGACGATGGGGACGAACAAAAGTCCAATTCATCGCTATCTTCGACCTCTAGAGACTATCTCAACAAATGGGTGCCTGAATATCGCTCACATCTTTCGCTTTATGCAACAGTAATGTCCGGGGATTTTTTACTCGAGGAAGAAGTCATTCAGATATTCTCAAGGTTTGTTCACTTCTGTAACTTACTAAATCACATTGATCGGTAACCCGCTTTGATCAAACATGAACTTTAGTGTCTCTGGAAAAAGACACATCCCCTAACCTGCTTGTATAACAAAGCGCATTCAAAAACTTCTGGTATTTTTCACTGAACTGGAAAAGAGCAGGTCAGAACAGTATCTCCAGAAGCTGGACATGGCCTTGAAAAGCCAATCTGCTAAGTCCATGCAAATGCATAGTTCGTTACTGGCTACCAGCACAGCAATCATATTCATCCTTCTTAAGTCTTCCTTCATTTTCGTGGATGCTCACCAACTGGACGCAGTTATCTGAGCGACCGCATTAATTTCCGTGGCGATTCGAAAAAGGAGAGAAGAACCATACCCACTTTTCTACGCGAGAATTTTGGTTCAGTTTACCCATCGTAGCGTGATGCCCTTGATACTGTAACGAGCACGATCACAAAGAAAATTCGTCACGTATGATAAGCAGCGACAAATTTAACTCAGGTTCTGTTAGAAAGCTCTTAACAGTCATATTTCGAAGCCCGAACTGTATGGAGAACGGAATTGCGAGCAAGGCAAGTTTGCAATAGATTACTGTTGGAGCAAAATTTTGGAAGAAAAATTTCGCGCCATATTGATACCCTTGTAGGATATAAATATGATATGATTCTTCGTCCAAATCCAGCAGGTTTTGGATAACTAAGTGAATATACACGCAAATTAAAAAGAAGTGATTGGAGAAATACAGATTTCACAAAGATGTTTTCGGACAGAACTGTAAACTGGAAATGAGCAAAATTTTTGAAACTAATCGGAGATGCGTGGCTTTTTAAGCCCGCTTTGGACAGGGGAAGCGTTTTTCAAACTCACTTTCATGCAAATAGCAGTTAGAAGATCGTACTGATGATCAGCACTTTTATCTGCACATTTTGCTTTGCCTGTATTTGCAACAACAGGATGAAACAGAGACTGCTTGCCAATATGGCCTCGTTACCATTGGCGGATCCGGGGGGTGGGAGGGGGCGGAGTGTCCCGTCTCTCCAGGAGTTCAGATAGTACCTGTTTTACTGTAGAAAACTCTTTTCGGTACCCCGTATCCCACCGTTTAGGATCGACTAGCGGAGGGAGGGGATAGCGGAACGTCCAACAAGGTGACGGCCAGGGGAGACGGTGTAGCGAGATGATCGAAGCAAGGTGGCCGAGAGAAAAGGGGAGAGGAGGAGAGGATGGGCCTTCCGGTGTAGTGACGAACGAGGAGGGAGAGAAAAATCGCCCGCTCCCCTCCTCCCCACACCTCCCAAAGAACCGCCCTGGATCCACCCATGATCGTTACACGGGATATTTAAGCCCACCCAATGTCTCTGAATCTAAAACTTCATGCTAGAACAGCGTTTTTGAATATCTGAGCGACAAGGTAGCGGTTACTTTGTATAATCATCGTACAAAGTGAAGCCTATGAAAATTTGTGACAATGTTGAAAAATGGACACGAAGTAGGCTGCAGCTAACTTAGACCAAACCATTCGGGGAAGTAACATGGTAAAATTTGCAGGTTCGGCAAAGTGATGAAGGTTCTCTGGTCGCGAATAGGGAAACGTCATGGTTATTTGATTATGTTCAACACGGAACTCGAAAAGCAAAAAGTCTTTGAGGTATCCGTCAAAAAACATCTGTGCGATCTGGAAGAAAAAGCAAAACCAAATCTACCGTAATCCGGTGGCATCTACGGTAGTCTCTGTAGTATGTACTTTGCGCTGTCACAATCCTTGAAATAGTTTTCAAATTGAAGGAGTGTGGCAAGGAACTGGAAGCATGTGGAAGAATGCTGAAACTATGGAATTATAACCAGCGCAATGACTTATCACTGAACAATACATTTATACCTGTTATCGACGCAGCAGCAAAGTACCGCTACAAAAAACGTAGCTACTAATTTCTGTTTTTCTCAATCCTTGAAAAAAATTTAACCCGCCAGTGCAAAACTTATTTTTTAGAAATTCTTCTCCTTTTACAAAAACAGGAAGCGTAATTTGCTCCGGGAGGGATAGTTTTGGTGCAACGCACAAGTGAAGATGCGTCTCAGCTGGATGCAATTTCGCACTTTATCGGTCGGGGCTGTGCATGCAACCAAAAATGTTAATAGTTCGTCAAATTTGCTGGCATCACCGGGGTTTCCTGAGTCTACAGTGTGACGCTGTCAAAGTCACTGGAATAATACAACCTCGCTTCGCACATTCTTCACCAGACTAACTAATGCAGGTTTCGACAGAAAATTTGCTAGCGCATTTGCTGTGACTGGAAAGCCCAGCAGCTTAGGATCGACAAGACATGGAATGTGATTTTTTGAAAAAGTCTGACCAACGGCGCGTATTCTTACGGCTGCTCTAGTACTGCCAACACTTCGTCCAACCCGACTTGCAGTAACAGCCCAAAAGAAGGTGGTAATGTGTCCGAAACATCGAGCCATAAATCACTTTAACATTTCTGTCTCAAAGTGGCATAAAATAGCGACAGCAGCACTGAAGCCGATTACAACCGTATGCATTATCCAGACAAATGTGCTCCAAAAGCCGTTGAAAAAGGACCAACAATCGGTATTGATTCAGAAGCGCCCTTGCGTGAAACTGTGGCATCACCAGAACAAGCTGGTAGTCGACCACTGCCGGCCACTGCTTTCATGTTGAAACAGATTTCGGATGCTCAGATTTTTCAGGTACATTCCACTTCAGAAACGCACCAAACCAAATAAAAAGTGGCGGTATCGTGTACAGTTATAAGTTTTGCGCAGTTTGGAGATAGAAAAATGCCAACAACTTCTTGTCATCGAACTGCACTTACCCCTACACTAAACGTAACGTGGAAGCTTAAATTTTCTGAGTCGGTGGACGCTCTTAAAGTTTTTTGTTGATTTCCGAACGAGAAATTTTCCGCCAGAATCTTCATTTGTCTGCAGTGCTGGATCCTGACGCAGGTAGAACTGTATTCAAATTTACGGAGTTTAAGCGCACCCGGGATTTGTTAATTTGCTATGCTAAGTCAATAGTGCAATATGCGGGTAAGCTGGGAGCTTTTAGCTTAATTGTCAGGCCATTCAGGAGAAAGGAATTGTTTAGAGCTCTGGAATAGTGTCTGCTGCTGATAAAAGTGTTGCAATTCGTCGCGGGCTGTTTCAAAGGATTAAAAGTGGGAAAGCTAAGAGTGAAGCATGCTAACAGACGGTAGAAAAAAATAGTGCATCGCAGTGGAACACGATTTCAGGACTACCAGTCTTACGAGAATACAACGCTCAGCGACTACAGTGGCTTTCTCGGTCTGCAGGCGCCGTACCATTTATTGCCTGATACACCGTATTTCCGCTCTGCGCCAATTGTGCCTCCGCCAACAAGGTTACTCACATTTATTCTCACTGTTCTACCGCTACAGCAATCCATTCAAACACCGCGGACACCCCCCACATCCCTACGACACAGGACTTTCGAATATAAAGTTTTATACTTCATATTTTTTCGCATCGCTTGTAAATGCATAATGCTTCGGTGCTTTTTTGGGAAAAAGATTTTCCTGCTCAGCAGTGTTGAGGACCGGTGACGCAGTCTGACAAGAACTCTTGAGCCCCTCTACGATGAAACACTTTCAGGCGTAGCGAGTCCCAGTACTGGTCTTTTTTCGCTCCAGTGTTGAATTCGTGGCGGAAAAACCTTTCCTTAGCATGCAGTGACATCAGGCGGTGACGCCAAGGCTACAGTAATGTCTTTTAAGGCTTTGCCTACCCGTGCGAGTCAGATATCCAAGTTCGCCTAGCGCAATTTTTTCGTGGAGCTGTTCTGCTTCATCAGTGTAGTTCCACTCATTCTAACTGCAGGGTGAATTGTCAGCCAGATTTCGGTATTCCGGGAAAACAGACACACTGCTTGTGGCATTGTCCAGCTCTACTCTTCTGAGTTACCTCCATCTACTTTAGATCCATTCTTCAAAGCAATTTGCCAGGTAAAATAAAAATTTTAGATTGGTATCAGAGCACATGCCGATGATGAAACGCATGATGAATCGTTATTTAGCGAGCATGGAACCAACCGATGGAAGCGGCACTGCGCGAGCTCATCGGCCTGCTCGCCGTGAGTGCCTCTCACCTGAATGTTCTCCACGTACAGCAGCCGCAGAAGTAGCAGCAGCAGCAGAGAGACTGTTAGCTGCTCAAGCAGCAGCGACAAGCTTGCCACCAAAAAAATCGGAAGGCAAAGCAAAAGGACGAAGAGGCACGTCAAAAGAGAAAGGACCACAGGAATGCGTACTAAAAAAGCAGTCCCAAGAAAACGCAAAAATAGAAGCCCCTGTGGCACAAAAACAAAAAGGTGAAACAGGAGATTTGACGGTGCAGCAAGGTGAAGAGAAAGGAGGCAGAACTTCAGTCAAGAATTTACAGCAGGAAGGAGGAAGAGTCGTGGCGAACGCTGAAACAGCGATCAGACAACCACATAGAGGCCGAGGAGCGGGAGGAGGTGGACGAGGAGGAAGAGGAGGGAGAGGAGGGAGAACGGTTTTTTGGAGGCAACGGAAACAGGTGGAAAACGAAAAAAAGGGATCAAAAAGACGTGAAAAAGAACAGGAACAAAAACGTAATGAGAAGTTACCAAAGCATTAATACTTGCGTTACGAGACTGTATTTCCCACAACGTGAAGGTTTACAAAATGAAGTAATAATGGGGAATATTTATAGCTAAACAACACAAAATACTATCAAACCGACAAAGAGGAGGAGAACGAAGTCGCCACAAATTTGTTTCAGAGAAAAAAAAACAGCGAAACACAAGAACCATGCATACAGTATTACTTGCCAATCACTAGCGCATCCAGCATAACCCCTACCCTTTGCCTCCCAGTAAATTTACGATACACTGCCCGTCATTCAGAAGATTGGTGCTGCTTCAGATTTTGTCTGTGATATTTCTGCTTCATCTGCGCTATGAGTAAAATATTAAAAAATACATTTTTCCTTTCTTAACTACCAAGAACTTTTTTTGCTCCAGCACTTTTCCGAAAGAAACAGCCTGCTTGGTGACGCTGCCGAAGCGCCGATCCCTCTTCTGAACATTGCATGAAGAGCAAACTGAAGTTAATTTTACCCGTCACCAAAAAGAAATGTCCTTCGTCACACCTACACACCGCTGACAACGCCCTCAAGATTCGCAGCTTCATAGTGCTTTTGGAAATGTAAAAAAAAAAAAAAAA